TAATATAAACTTCAAGATAAACTAATTCAACCTCCGAAATCATGTGCTGCCAAAGAAAGGGGCATGGGCTTTAAGGCCTGTATTTCATATAGAATGTATCACTCGTATTTTAAACAGAGCAAACAGCAGTAGTGGGATCAATCCCACACACCACAGCACTATAGCTATACCTCTGGCCAACTCTACAGGGATGATGGTATAGATATACAGTGTGTGTGTGTATATATATATATATATATATTCCCCTTTGGACTACGTTTAAGGCCATTGCACTGGGGAACGTTAATGTGAACCTGTGCCCAGACTGCATACAATAAAGTATTACATATACTTCTTCATGAAAAGAGCTCTAAAGCTAAACTCTATTCAACTATAAATTACACAAAGTAATGCAGCTCTGTATTCATTATTCTATCAACAAGTTTATTTTTTTAAATGCAAACCGTGTAAGTACTTGAATTTGACCTGATATCGGCCTCTTGCAGTCACTGTATAACAGGACTGGAGAGAGAGGGGGAAAAAAAAAAACAACGTACACGAAACCAATCAGTTCTTATGCAAGCAAAGAACCATGCTCATAGGAGGAACAAGCAGAGTGACAGAAAGATAAGCTCATCACTACGCTGCTTTTTCTTTTACTATCCAGTCACAGGCTGGGGACAGGTCCTGGATGATTTGCGGTCAAAAGAAGTGAGTCAATAATGCTGGCCATCAGACTGTGGCCATCAAATAGCAATAAAAGGGTACTGCCAGGAATATCGTTTGATCTGACTCATTTTGTTATGTTATCTTTTCATGTAGAGCTGCAGCTAACGATTATTTTCAAAATCGATTAGTTAGCCGATTATTAAGTTCGATTAATCGGTTAATCGGATAAACAATAAAATAAAGTTTAAAAAATGGCTCCAGTGATGGGACTACTAGTTTGTATTGAGATTGCACTCCATCACAGGAGCAAGCTTGGAGCTGTGGAAATGTACTATTAATTTTCAAGTTCTGCTTAAAAACAAGCATTCACTCACCTATGTAGCTGCAAGCACTGTGGAGAAAATAGTTTTCACCATTTTCAACAGAGCCATAATGAAATCTCGGCTCCTCTGGCAGCAATGACTTGGCAGCCTGCTTTAAAAGAGAACTATGGGGTAAGTGTTTTTCCCCATAGTTCTTTTTAGGGTCACGGGAGGACATATGCTAGCGTCCTCCCGTGACCCGAAGCTCAGTATCTTGCGATATACTGAGACCGCCCCAGACGGGACGGATCCCTACATTACTGTCGAGATCCACCCAGCTGCGTGAATGACAGCTGGCTCTGTCTATCTAGAGGCAGAGCCAGCTGTACCCGTCTGTTCCCCCACTCAGTGCTGGAGATCAGGTAGGGGGGGAATCCCTGCAGGGAGTGGTGACTGACGGTCACCACTCTTTGCAGGGAGATCGAGAAGTGAGCAAGCAACGATATGTGTACGCTCAGTCCCGATCTATTGAGCCGACGTGTGACAGTTTCATTGTCACACTTCGGCTCGAACTATGAGGATGAGGGATTTTTACTCACCTCATAGTTCTCCTTTAAGTCTTTAGAGACCAATTAAAACCCAACTTAAAAGTCTCTGATTTGATATTTGAAGATAAACTACTCCACAATGAATGTAAACAACCTGCAGCTACAGAGATCAGTGAGACTTTAATCTTATCTTGTAGGTAATGTCAACATCACAAGCCGCTTGGCAAGATCTTGGGGAAACTTAGAGCATCCTAAATCTTGCAAGAAGAAGCCCTAGAAATAAAATAGTGCTCTTTGGCTTTCTTCTTGCTCGAAGTCCTGTGGCGTCAATTTATTTATTTTTTGTTACTATAAAACTATGTTCACTTTTATGAGCCTACCTTCTAATAAATATTACATCATAGTGGCTGATCCCACTCTGCACTATTACGGCTGATGTATAAACCGTTGGAAACAAAATTAAGCCTAAAGTATGTTTTTATAATAACATTACCCAAATTTGTGTTCCATGGACAGTTTCCGAACACCTAAAATAATATATCTACGCCTTGAGGAATGTATAGGTTTGTGCCGGGCATTATGATTTGCCCTTCATTGGCTTTGCGTCATCATTTTTACTGTTTACCTTTAGCACTGCTGCCTGTTTTTGTTTTGCACGCGTTGAATTTCTGTTTCCCAAAGTTTGCAGTCTATCACGATTCGTGTTCAATGCATTTGCAGAGCTGTCTCTCTTAAAAGACTTCTGTTCTGCAAAGATTCCAGTGGAATATCTGGCTTTCAAGAGGCTGGTTTTCTTTCACAACAGAAGTGCAACGCAATGGCTTGTCAACCTGCCTATAATCATGAAGAATGCCAGAAAGGGAGCCTGCAAATGACACATTCCAATAAGAACTGATGTCATATTTTCTTTGCTAGACCAAATATTTTCACACTTGTCACTCTGGAAGCCTTGGGGAAGAGGCAGCAACATTGCTGTGAAATTTAGCGTGGGATGATTGTTGTCGCGAGCCATGGAGTGAGTATCAGCAAAACGGCAGAATTCATTACATGTTCAAGAGGTGCTCATTGTTAAAGTGTTTAAAGACTGGACTGTCAGCCGAAAATCTGGGTCTGAACGTGCGAATTGTGGCCGTCAGCGACTAGTCAATATTAGGGCAGAACGAAGAGTGTCAAGACTGGTAGAAGGACAACAGTGCAGTGTCGGATTTCTCGCATCACCTTTCAACATCTCGTGGAGTCACGAGGCGGCCCAAAGAAGTCATCTCGTGGAGTCATCTCGTGGAGTCATCTCGTGGCCCAACGAAGTACTGATGGGGTGGTCAAATTATTCAATGTAGGTAGACAGGTCAGATCAAGAGCCTAAGACTCCTGGGTCCTCCCATTAGAGCAAGTGACAACCTAATAAGGGTGCCACTAACTGAACAAGGAACTACACAGGGGATGCTACAATACCAGGGGCTTGGGTAATATTGGGAATGGAAGCTCCTTGCTTATTGAAGAGGAGATTTCTCAGCTGGGGAACATCTGTAAGAAAAAAAACTTGGGTAAGTTGCTGAAAGGCAAGAAATGACCTTTGCAGTAATGACAAATAAAATTCTACCCGGAGTTCAGCTATAAAGTTTGATTCCCCAGTAGCACTTAAAAACAAAAAAGCTGCTCCAGCTTCTATACAATATACAAAGTTATATTGTATATAGACTAGGCTCCTATACTTACTATACCTCTATGGCGCTGTCCCCTGTAGACAATTCAAGTGCCGATCCCCCAAAGTTGATTAATGTTAGGCATCATTCAACCCAGTTCTTGTGAGCTCAAGACATCTTGGCTTGGACTCATAGGAGAATGTCAAAGCATTTAGGAGCTGTCCACCTATGGAGCAACAGGCCTGTGATGTGACCGAACCGAAGACCCACAAAAAAAGGTGTGCATAGAGATTTTTTTGGTAATAGTTGGTATGCTGCAACGTTCAGGATGAAGTGGGGGAGTAAACAAACCGGGAACTGGGAATTTTTATCCACTTGTACTTGATACTTTTAGGTTTCAAATATGAACTTAGGAGTTCCGCTGCTGAATTTATAAAACACCAATACAAGCTGACACTTTACTGAACCACTATTTCCCAAATGTTTATAATAATGATCTTTCTAAATGAAAACAATACTTTATTTTTTATTTTTAACAGAAGACCGAGATTAAAAATGCATCATGGCCTACAGGTGAAACTCGAATAATTGGAATATCGTGCAAAGTTCATTTATTTCACTGATGCAACTTAAGAGATGAAACTAATATATGAGATAGACTCATTACATGCAAAGCAAGATAATTCTAGCCGTGATTTGTCATTATTGTGATGATTATGGCTTACAGCTTATGAAAACCCCAAGAACCCCAAATCCACAACCTCAAAAAAGTAGATTATTACATGCAATCAATAAAACAAGGATTGTACATATAACAATATCGGGCCTCTGAAAAGTACAAGCATGCATATGTACTCAGTACTTGGTTTGGGCCCCTTTTGCAGCACTTACTGCAATTACCTTTGCACGATATTCTAATTATTCGAGTTTCACCTGTATATGCAGGTCTTGTTTGAACAAAATGCATGTGTTTTAGGGTTTCCCACAAAGATGCTTCTGCGTCAGCATTAATAACAATGTATACAATCCCTGAATTAGTATACAGGCATTCACCGAATTACACATCCGATTTACATCCGACTCCTACTTACAAATAGAGGCTATTAATGTACTGCTGGGGGTCCCAGGCTGCAGCCAAAGTGTACCGCACAGCGTTCCAGTAGTTGTAATGCTACTGCGTTTGTGCCGACGAAGAGCACCAGTCTTTTTGTTTCTGGTTAGTAGTACTGCACGTACATTACAGGAAGTTGGCTCTTGTTAGACGTGCAGACGAGGGGTGTCCGCCTCTTCTTCCGGGTCACTGTGAGCTTTTTACTGCTGTCTGTATTCTCATTAGAAAGATTTAATCTCACTTCCTGTCCTCGAGACAACAGGAAGTGAGAGGAAATCTACCCCTAGGAAGGGAAATTAACTCCTGTAAGAGTGATCATGGGAAAAAGGTTTCTCCACTAAAGCTTTACCAATCCTTGTTTCCATGACAACCCAAAATTTTCAAAATCCAATTGTCACAGGGACAGAAAGTGAGGTGAAATCTTCTGAACAGGGGCACACACAGCAAAACAAACATTACAGGGGGTTAACCCTTCCCTATGCTATCTAAACAAAAAAAAATTGGGGGCTGGAGTTGCACTTAAAAAAATATTTCTGTTCCAACTTATATACAAATTCAGCTTAAGAAGAAACCTACAGTCACTATCTTGTTCGTAACCCGGGGACTGCCTGTATACTGTATATCTACTATGTGTTCCTCTAACAAGACAATAAGAAAATATTTTACTGACCGCAAGAACTGTAGATGTGTTGTGTGTGGTGTTCTGTATTCCTTTATTTCACAGACTGTATTTCTTTTAATGTTTTAGGTAACTGTTATGGATGCAATGCACCCTTTTCGATACTACTGAAAAAGAGGGTAGGTGTTTTGTTTTTTTTGTTGTCCAAATCATATCATGTTTTGCCTATACCTAATTATAAATGATAATTAAAGCTTACTGCTTTCAAGAGGGTCAGGTTCAGTATGCTGAACCATGCCCGAGCACAGTTTGGAAACGATCACACGAGAACTTGAACTAAACTTTGGGGGTCAAATGTGTTTGGGCGCTGCATGGATCACTTCATGTGAGCTGACCCTGGAAATGCTGCAGGTACACCAAAATACCTGTTAATCTCCAAGACATGTCTGCCTTTGCTGGACTAAATTGGCAAGCAGTGTTGACAGCCCATGTGTTACTGTGTTTTTATTTCCCATCTTTTTATCTTGAATGAGTACATTATCTGGTTCTAGCAGCTGTTTTATACTCCTGTGACCTGTGAAAAGCTGCCAGGCAGTGTCAGCTGTCATTGTATTGTTCAGTGCCTTCCACCCACAGCAGAGTCTGTCCTCCTCATTCACAAATGCGAATGGGATCCCAATGTACACCATCTTGAAGTAAGTGGACCACACCATTGTTACTTTGGTTTTTCCTTGCTACCAATTGTAATAGAAACGCATCCCAATCCTATTAAAACAACCTGTTCTCATTTAACCACTTCAGTTCTCACACATCCACACCGCTTATGGACCAGAGCAATATTTACATTTCTTCTATGAGCCTGATAATTTGGTAATAGCTTTGTCATTGCCTAAAGGTGCCCATACACTGCACGATTATCATACGATAATCGTATGCGATCGGTTTTTCGTACGATAATCGAGCAGTGTGAACGGAGACGTGCGACCGTTTCTACTGTACGGTCGCACGTCTTCTGTCGAACCAGCATGTTCGAAAACCAGCCGGGAATCGTACGATTCTCGGCTGGTTAGAACGGTGCTCGGAAGATAAATGCTGAACGGGCCGGTGTGCGCACGCGCACACTGCCCGTTCAGCATTGCGGTCATCGGAAGCCCGCCCCTCAGGGGGGCGGGCTTGCGATGATCGAGAGTGCGATCTGCCTGTCCAAGATAGGCAGATCGTACGTTTTTTTAATCCCTTTACAACCATCGCAAGACTAAAGTCTTGCGATGGTTGTAGAGTGTATGGCCACCTTAAGATTGGAAAGTAATACAAGTTTTAATTTTATTTTGTATGCACTCCATGGACAAAACTTCAGAAATCTTTTGTACTTTGATCAGTATTGCTTAAGAAAAAAATAGTTTTGCTTTAGAAAAAAGTAATCACTTCATTCTATACTTTGTCCTGTTTTCTAATTACATTATAATTATGGTTCTGGTACAAAACATTGCAAAGTAAATGAAACAAAAGCCTTTTTTTTTATATATATATATTTTTTTTTAATTTTGCACTTTTTTTTCTCTTTACTGCTGTGCTGCAATAACTGTGGAAACAGCTTCTGTTCAAGGTGTTGTTCTTACAAAGTCCCCAAATCAGCAATGGGAGCCACAGGTGAGGATCAGCTAAACTGGAGTATTTAAAAAGTATTTGTGTCCCAAACATTCTTTTTTAGTTTTGGATAGAATGAAGAATAGTTACAATTCCTGCCAGGTTTTAATTGGTATATTCATTCCTATGTAGGAGATTTACTTTTTTGCGCTAGTTACCATTGTCAGCAGCAGTGGCATCACAAGGCGCGTGCGGCCCGCACCCGGGTGACACCAATGGATGGGTGACACAAAAACGACAGTCCTTTTGGTGTCGGCCCCTCTGAAAAGTCGGGCACTCGGTCATGCACCGAGAGCCCGACAGTGTCAGGAGAGAGGAGGGGACCCGGCAGCATACCTGATCCCTAGGGTGAACGTCCCCTCCTCTCTGCCGGCATCCATCACCAAGATGGCCGCCGGCAGGCGTCAATAAGATGGCCGCACATGCGTGATGACGTCACGGCGGGGTGTCACTCGGTCTTCGCTCTGGGTGACACCCGGCCTCGGGACGCCCCTGGTCAGCAGGACAGGAATTGATGGGAAATTCAAAATGTTTAGGGCTGTCTCTCTAACAGGAGCGGAGGGGAAATCTAGTGGTGGGACCTACCTGTTCCAATGACAGATGTCTAAGAGGAGATTCCCCCCATATTCCTCTAACTTCCTTTTCTGTCTCTGGCTTTCTGGTCTCCTGCCTTCAGGGAATTCTTATCTCCTGCAGAAGACAGCTGGAAAATTTTTGCCTATCTGAGTCAATGTTGGATCGTATGATCTTGGCTTTTGACCGCCACCTACTTTCTTGTTCAATGCTTGACCTGTCATTGGGACGATTGTATTCTTTCTCTTCTGTTTTGTTTGCTTCTCACTGCATCCCACTATCGTTGATGCATTTTTCCTTCTTCCATAATTAGTTCAAAAAGTTTGAACACAAGGATATGACTTTCTAATGTAAACATAGATTGTCACCTGATAAGTAAATCCTCAACCTGGCAAATTTTAGATTTTACTTGCAATAGACCCATCACTTTTAGCACCAACATGTAAAGTAGTATTAAACTATCAAACTTTTTGTCAATAATAACTCCAGATGAAAGAAATATTCATTGCCCGGCAAAGGATTTCTTTACATTTTTGCCGGGCAAAACATTACAGTCACCATGCTTCCAAACAGCTCCCACCTCTTAGCTCCCCTTCCTTGAACTTCCTGTCCAGTATCCAATCCAATATAAGGGAGAGAACAGTCTCCAACAGCTGTCCATCTAGCAGCATGTAGAAGGGGGAGCAGGGTAGTAGATTGCCTTGCTATGTCTGTGTGTTTATGGAGACACACACGGTTTACTAGCACACAAGGTCGGCTCCATAGGACCCTACAAGTGAAAAGTACCACCTTAAAACAGGATATCAGGACCAGTTCTCGGGAGACCAGCTAATTCCGCAGGAAGCTAAAACTTTTAAACATCAAGATGCAGGATCTATTGTAAGTGATTTCATCAGCATCAGAAATTGCTTAAAAACCTTTGATATCACTTTAAATATGTGCAAATTGTCATTGGTCTGCACAAAATTGCAAACTTAATTAACATATTACCATTATTTCTGTACTTTTCTATCACTGCAGCGCCAGATGCACAGAAAGAAACCGTGTTTGTATGTGCTCCATGCAACCAGGTATTGAGTAAATAGGACCTGTGTTCTCCATGGCCATGGAATGGAACCTTCTCATGATACCTCTCACCACTAGAATTAGGAGATGGACACTCTGGTGTGAGTGGGATGTACACCGAATATCTTCATGTGTTTGATCTACTTATATTATGTGTTCTGTCTACATTCTGTACATCTGTATAAATGTATATTGTATAAAGCGAGACGTTATCACAGGAGCTGTTTTATATAGAAAATGTCTTATGTACATTTGCATTTCTATTACATGGAATTACCATAAGAATATTTTTAATACTTGAAGCAGCCACCTTATATACGTAAAGATGGAACGACACGCGTTTTGGTCAGCGTCATCATCCCGGTATGCGATACACTGCTTTGTCACGCTTGTGTTTTCATCCCAGCCTTTAGATTAGGCCGCAAATTAGATAAGCTAGCACAAGTTATAGGACATTCAGAAGACAAGTAGTGGCGTTTGCTAAAGGCCTTTATTATCCGGATATAATCTTTAGAGCAGCAGGCTTAATGATTAGATTCACACAGGCAGCCGGTGCAGAGCTAGAATCCATGACTTTGTGAACTGAACTGTGTCATCCTCTGCTAATTTGCCACAATGTGGCCGTCGCTGCCTCCTCCGTACCCTTAAAACATCACTGTCAGTTAGTTAATAACCGCATGCTAGATTTGCAGAGTGTGCAGAAAGTTTGCAGACAGATAGCGGCTGTTATGAGGATGGGGCTTGTCTATATTTGAAAGGATGTCACTTGTCGGGATTCAACCACAGATGACGCGAATCCTTATTTATTGCCCAGAGTTTTTGTTATGTTTTTCGGTTAACTATTTTATAACATGAGATATAGGATCTAGGATGTAAAGTATTAAAAACATGTTTGTTTTTGTTTTTTTATATAACACTGTTTTTTGTATATATAGTGTATTACAGATTTTGATGGTACATGTTCTCTTCTAATTAACTGAACATTAATGGGCCTTCACCGAGGCACAATTTTGGAGCATCTTGTTGCTGCTATTTTAGTGGGAAATCTGCCACCAGAAAAAATTCAGATTACTGAACAAGTGACAGGTAAAGAGAAACCTTTTGTCTGTCGGCTTTCGGGGATGCTAAGCCTGTGGTCTGAATTGGACTTCAGTTGGGTGTTCACATTTTTTTAATGTTTTTGCATATGTCTACTGCTTGTTAGCAGTCGATATATGCAAAAAAAAGAAGGTTTAATTCTACTTTAGGGCAGCCCATTTCTTAATTTAACATGGACTGCCAATGTATGGCGATGAAAAGAAAAAACATAAGACCTTTTTTTAATTTTTACGCACCACATCTACTGTTTTGTGAATTGGGGTGCCATTCTAAACGAGTGGCACTGCAACACACCACACAGCAAAAGGCACTACTTTACCTGATGAAGTGACCGCATACAGCTCCGAAACGTTGCATATTCTGTGACCCCATGTATATCCCACATCAATCATGATGAAGTCATAAAGTGGACCCTTGTGTGCTGGTTACTCTTTTTCTACATTAAGCCTTGGGATAGGGCTCAACAGGTGATAAAATCTCTTTGCTTCCGAGAGGTTTAACCACTTGGCAGTCATCTGATTGACCGCACACTGAAATAAATGTGATGCTACTGAGACAACTGTTGACATGCAGTTGAATCTCTCAGTAGCAGAGCGTTTTACTTGCCTGTGTAGCCCTAACCTAAAGATTTCTCTTCCCCGTAAGCTGAATGAGAGAAATCACTCCTAACCCCCTTCTACTCTAAACAGTGTGGATGGACAAATCCGTGTCGGCTATTGTATTCTGGCGGTGACCAGCCACAGCTGTTAGAATAGCAGAACAGTGACTGCAGTCACTGTTCAACTGAACACATTGAAGGAGTTAGGCAGAAAGTAGATGGCTGAAGTTTGTTCAGCCGGGTGGTGTTGGAAGGACCACCATCTGGTCCTTCCAGCTCAGTTTTCATCTGGTTCACAGGAATTGGCCAAAATTAAAGACTCATATGGCCAGCTGTAGAATCCCCTTGTGACCACAGATTGTTGCCTCTCTCAGTGTTAAGCACCTAATAATAAGTGCATTCTATCATTTTGTTTTTAAAATACTTTTTCCCCTCATGAATGCGATAAATATAGAAGCGTAAGGGCCAGTTAAGAAACGTAAAACTTCATGGCAGTTAACAGCTACTGTATATCTATAGTGCACAATGTATACACACCACCTGACCAATCGTTTGCCCCACCCCGACCCCTTACACGCACACTGGGAAAAGCTGTTCATTTTGACTCACTGGTTGTAGGACCTAAAGCACTAAGCAGTGTCCCACCTTTGTGTGTCAGCCCCTATTCAGTAAGCTGAAATTGTGAGTCTGGTAACTGATTCCCTTTATATGACGATTGTCAGTTTTCCATGACAACATATTGTCTGTTAATTGTAAAAGTAAAAAAAAAATAGCATTATGATAGAGAGGTGGGAGCTCTAGAATGGTGGGGATCTCTGCACGACATCTCATTAGTTCTGCTAGGAGAAGGTATGACAATGCCAGGTAAATGTAAAATGTAAAGGTAAAATGTAAAGAGGAAGTTTCACATTTACAGGGTTATTCATAAAAGGGTGAAGAGTTTGGAGAAGGCAGGAGAAGGGAACAATCTAGGACAACATAGCTGAACTGGAAAGTGAGCTGAATGGGAGACTTTTATCCCAACCAGTTATGTTGTCCTAGATTGTTCACTTTTCCCGTCTTCTCCAAACTCTTCACCCTTTTGTAAATAACCCTTTTAGTGTTTTTGTTGACCATTAATATTTCTCGCCTTTTCTATTACTTTTTATTCCATAAGTTAAATCTGTCACAAACCTCTGTGATTCAAACTGAGCATATGATGAAAAATGCTTATACAGATGCTACCTTCAAATTCTGTCAAATTTGTATTGCTAATCCCAATTTTCTATAAATGGCAAGCTTGTCCCAGGCCCCATTCCACCTTACAAACTTTCTTGTTGGACCTTTAATGTGATGAATCATCTCGTTGATCAATAGGGAGTCTCGGGAGGCAGGACCAAGCTTGACTTTATTTTTAAAAAAAATCTTTAGCTGCCTATGTCTCTGTATTTACCCCTTAATTTTATGTAAACTCTGATTTAAACATTTGTCCTTAACTTCAGTTTGAATAGATCTGGTTTTGAGGTTCACTTATTTAAGTAATCACCTCTGAAATATTTCTTCGCAAAATACTTGGGCTATGTGCAATGGTTGCTCTTAAATAGCTAATGTAATTTGTTGCCTTTTTTAAAGTGACTTAAGGATTTTTGTCATCTCAAAAATATTATTTAATGCTACGACATTCCCCTCTATGGCTGATGGCGTGTTGAGCTTGATAGGAACAAGTGTATCTAAAGCCAAATTTCTCCCTTTTTTTTTTTTTTAACGTTTTAAATTGGTAAAGGGTCAGAACCCTTGTCAGGAATTATTGCTTAGAAAAAGCCAGCACACCATGTGGAAATGCAGAGATATTTTACTGCAGTCCCGTATAAAACAAAACTAATGTTTCAGGGACACTCGGGTTCCCTTTCTCAGGACCATGATGCACATTTTGGCATCATCACCTTGATAAAAGGGGACCTGAGTCTCTCCGAAACGTTGGTTATGTTTTCTATGGGACAACAGTGGAAAATAAGGCTGCATTTGCACATGGTGTGCTGGCTTTGTCTTCTAATGGATATTTGATGGTGCCACCGTTGGCCGAGTGCCCACTTAATCTCTCTTGGTGGTTCGAGAGAGTGCAGCATGGATTGTTCATTTCTAGGTTGTGTACACATTACGTGAATGTATTGTTCTCTCTCATTTTTATTGGTGACCACTATAAACTGGCTTTAAAAGTGACAGAAAATCCCAAATTTGGATGATTCCCTGAACGGGAGAAACTTTTTCCAATGGAGACATCATTGACAACTCCATCACTCTGCAGTGATTTCTTTTCACTTGCTGTTGGCACACAGATGGCAAAAATCTAATAGGGGTTTTAACCATTTCCTGCTCTATTAGAAATTTCAATTAAACAGTTTTGGTTTTAGATACACTTTAAATCTCGAAAGGACTATGTGCGCCAATAAAGGCCTAACAGGAGAATTGAATAGATATGAATACTTGATCACAATGTATACAAATTGCTACACTGGATTTAATTAGACAACAATTCATGCCATAATAAAGGCATGCTAGATGGAATTAACATTTCTCTTGTTGGTGCATTGTGTATATATTTATATGTGTAAAAATAAATAAATATCTGCAATACATAGATATTGTGGTTGTTGAGAGTATGTGTAGGGTTGTGTTTGTGGGCATTAAGATTTTGCAATTTGAAAATGGATTTTGAACCTCAAATATGCTTTAAGGTCAATGAAATCTGACATGGCTGGGTACCTGTTCAAAAACAACTTTCCTATTCAAGCATTCTCCACACCATTGCTGTCTTAAAGTGTATTTCCATTGTTGCAGTCAAATTTGAAAAAACTATTCTGTATGTTTGCTGTGTGTTCCTGCTATTCACACTGCATTATGATTTTTCAAAAAATATTTCTTACCTTTTTTTAGATGTTTTGCTGCAGCAGGCAGCGTGGCTGATTCCAGCTTTTTCTCAGCACCTTCACAGTGATCTGTCCTTTATAGACATACGTAGAACTGGAATTTGAGGATTGTGTTTCTCTCATTAACTTCAATAACATACAATACAGAAGCCAGGGTTGTAATCCTCTACCCTCTCAGAGCGCCCCCTAACATTACGAAGAAGGAGAATCAAGTGTAAATGTTAAACAGATATGTTTCTCATTCCCATAACATAACAGATTTTTTTAAAACTGTTGCTTGTATAATACATGCCGTATTCTGAAAGAAAAGTTGCTCTCTGTACTATTTTGCTCTGGAATGGAATGGGGTGCTGGGCAGGTTAATATTAATATAATGAACCCTGTTAATACTGTGCTGGCAGATCTCATTATCATTTGTAAACTAGATTTGAACAATGTCTGTCCTAACAAAGGGTTAAAGATCTAGAAGCATTGTATATTAATGAGGGGGAAACTCAGCCTGTCCCTGGTCTTTCTATGGTGACACAGAGTTTTCTGTCTATTGAAACTTGAGGGCTAGTTCACACCAAGTGCAGAGCAGTTACAGACCGGATCAAAACTGCAACCAATGTATTCCAATGGTATTTTGGGCTCTAGTTCACACCAGAGCGTTCAGTTCAGGAGCATGTGGAAAAACTGCAGCATGTCCTAATTGTTTTCTGCTCTGGAATGCACCAAAACGCATCACAAATGCATGCAAACACCCTGGAACGCTCTGAAAGCCCATTCTAGGCTAAATGTTATAATTCTTTTTTACCAAAATGGCCTAAAAAGCTGCAAAAACGCAGCAAAACACACTGCACTGCGTGTGCAGAAACTCATGTAGATTTTGTCTGCTTTTGGTGTGAACAAGCCCTGGGAGAGAAGCTTGCAAAGACCTTCCACACTGGTAAGAAATATTTTTTATTAAAAGTCTTTATTGGAGTTTTCCAACATTGAAAATACAAGGAATAAAAGAAAATGCTTATTGTCTGGGTACTAAGGCTAGACAGATCAGAAAATACATATATATATATATTATGATTTCGGTATGCTGTGGGAATGGGATTACATCGGGGTTTTCTCAAATTTGCAAAAGTGGAAATACACTTTAAGTCATTAATGATGCAACCTTTTAGGGTGCTTTAGATCCCATCTTTATACAGTTGTTGTACAGCCTGAAGAAGGGCTCTACGGCTTCCCAAAGGCTTGCATCTTAAATATCTTAACCACTAAAGAGTATCACCTAAACTCCAGACTTTCTGCATATTTGCACTAGTAAATGCTTCTCTGTCTTGTCCACTATGATATATCCACAATGAT